CGCCCATATATATATATATATATATATTCTTTTGTATGAAATTTGGTATTTTAGTGTGACATATGAAGGATGCTTAAAACATTTTTATTTATTCAATTTATGAATATTTTTAGTAAGAAAATGAGGATTTAAAGATTTTATGTAGAAGAAAAGGGAGGAAGGTGCCCAAATTGCTTAATTTTTAAAAATGAAAGGACTTAATAGGCTTGAAAAAAAAACTTGGAGGATCAAAACCATACACAATTGAAACTAGAGGGGGACCAAAAATGTAATTAATCCTAAAATGTTTGTTAATACTTAATTGGTTTAGAATTCATTATCCAACTTGGATACAAAGTTTTGTATCCTCTTCTTTTAATTCTTTTTATTGCTTAATACCAAATATGCATTGGAGATTTAGTGACAAAGTCAACTGATAGATAGCTTAAATGACATGAGAGTAAGCATGCTTATAATAGAACTCTAAAATATTAAGCATTGCTAATGGAAATCTTGATCTTGAAATTTCCTTGGTTTCATAGAGAGATTGAGTTTGTGACCAATTTTAATGTTGATCATCAATGAATTGATTGCAGACCTCGTGAATCACAGTAACTTTTAATTTTATGACAGGTGAAGAGTACTGATTCTCCATGCTCCCCTGGCGTTGTTTCTGAAACCTGGTATATTTTAATATAACTCAAAACTGTAATTTTTTAATATTATAAATGCAATAGAAAATCATTAGCTGCTGGGAAAATTGTATATCAATGTTTTTATTATAACAGTATAGGAGACATGAGAGAGCAACTTTGTCATGGGGAAGACATGGTAAAAAATGTCCCCCATACAGACACAACAGGAGAACCGAGCCACAGTTTTCTGATTCAAAAGGAAGACCAACATCCTCATAAGGATTGCCAAGGAATCTCTATTAAAGTTGATTCAGGAGATCTCTATCCTGCTGCCACAACTGCTGATCAGGATCTAGAGAAGTCCCAGCTCTTGGCATGTGAGGTCATTGGAAATGTTCGGTGCAATGACATGATGAAAATTGGAGAACACCAACCTCAGTTTGACCTGCCTGTTAACTCTGCAGGTATGGTTTGTCACTTAGCCTTAAATATTGAAATCATGAATATGAATATATTTTTTTCTGTAATCATGAAGTTGTTAGTGTTGTGTATTTCTATGGGAAGCTTCAGCATGCTTTTCTCATTTTATTTGAAGAGTTCATATTGCATGTGATACAGATGAGCACACCGTTGATTTGAGCTTGGGTGCTGATAAGCATTCCCTTCATTTGAGGACGAGAACTCTTGGGGCCAAACTGGAATCAACAAGCAGTAGTTCTGCCATTGCTGAAGATCAAATTTCTGAGCTGGACTTTTTAAACTCTAGAAATACACAGGTATAAAGGATATTTTTCCTTTACATCTCTATAATTTCAAAGATGATATTTTATATTTTATATTATAGAAAGAACAAATTACTATGTTGCAAATCCCGGCAAACATATTCCCATTTAGGAAGAATTAACCAAAGGGGGAAATAGTGTTTAAGTGGTCAAACAATGTACCCCCAAAAAAAAAAAAAAAAAAACTAGGAAATAAATGTTTATCCTTATTTGGAGATATGTGCATAGCATGTGGCTGTTTGGGAATATCAACTAAGAAGTTCATATTATATCTTTCCTTTTCAAGATGATAGTTTTGCTCATTATTGATATCTGATTCTGCTTGCTCTCTTGTATATCCAGCTGATTTCAGAGGGAAAGGCTATAGATGCTGTTTGCTCAAGTAGTACTCAACCTCAGTCAGCTGGTTTAATGATGTATGAAGAAAGAATGAATGTTCAACAAGGAAAAATTGATCAACCAAAACCCATGCCAATGATTTCTCTTTCTTTGGGTTTGTCCCTGCCTATAGATCTCAAGACAGGCAACAATTCCATTGATAGTTTGTCAGTGTTGTCTTTGTCAAATTCAACCTCTGAAACTAGAGATATTGTCCAAGATGGATTATGCCGGTCATCATCACCAAACAGGAGACCATTGCTTCCCAGGCACCAGATAGTGCTTGACAACATTGCACACAGAACAAGAGCTTTAAGTGAAAGAGGAAATTTTCAAGAAAATTTGAGGCCACACCCTATCATGTGGTCTGAAGAGGAGTTGGATTTTCTGTGGATTGGTGTGAGGAGACATGGTAGGGGTAATTGGGATGCTATGCTAAGGGATCCGAGATTGCGGTTTTCACCATCAAGGGTACCAAGGGAACTTGCTGAGAGGTGGGAGGATGAACAATTAAAACTTTTGAACGATATTGGTGTTCCACAGTTCATGTATCCAGCGGCTGAAAGGACAGCAACAGCGGCGTCATTGCAAGGAAACTTTTGCTACTTGGATCCTACTTCAAGTTTCTGGGAGAGTAACCCCTTGAAGAAGCCTCTTGCCAGATTTAATTTTCAAAGTAACACCACTGCACACAGTCATAGGCCAACTGTTCGTTCCAGAAAGGCCTCTTGCAACAACATAGATAAGTATGAGTTAGGATTTTTCAATTCTCCAGGAAGCTCGAGTATTTCCAGGGAAAACTCTTACTCAAATGATTATCTATTTAATTGTTCGGCTACGACAAATAATTTGCCCCACTGGCTCAGAGAAGCAGTTAACACTCCTTCACTGAAGTCAGCTGTGCCAAATATGTCGGCAGCGATTTCGTTGAGCTCTCATCCCGAGATGCCAGGAGCTTCAGATCGTTGCTTTAATGCCGGCAAGTCATGCTTTGTACCTCAAAACTGGTTCAATGGTTTGAGGCCACATGAGTTACATATGCCAAATGGTTCTCACTATTCAACCTATTCAAGAAGAAAATGTGGGGTGGTGAAGATGAACAAGTCTCTGGAACAACGTGTCCGCAAACCGGATGACTTGATCATCATTGATAGTGACACTTCTTCTGAAGAGACCATATCTGATGATCACCGTGCCAGCTTGTAGATTCTGAAGAATGAATTTGATGTTGATAAAATGGTAACTTTGGTTAATAACTGTTGTAAGGTGTAGAAAGGTTGTAGGTGAATGATGCATGGTTTTGTAGCTTAGCAATCTGTATAACGTAGGTGATTTATGTGATTTGCTGCTAAATGAACGTTGATTTTATATTATAAATGAATTTTTTAGGGGTATTAAATGCTTTCCATTTATTTGAGGAAACAGTAAAAGATGAAATGCACTATTTTGCTATTATGTTTTTATTTTTATTATTATTTTTTTATAGATAAACTCGTTCATAAGCACTTTCAAGAAGAGAAAAAAAGAAAATGAGATGTTTCTTTATGATAAGTTAAAAATTATTTATGTACAAGTTAATATGGAAAAGTTCTCTATATAACTTCTCTTAAAAAATTACAAAGAAGCTTATGTTTATTTTATTTTTTGGAGAGATCTATTTATTTATTTTTTTCGTATATGTTTTTCTTAGAAGCTCTTTTGAAAAAGTTTATCAGGTTTTATGTATAGGTTGAGAGAAAAAAAAATAGGTTGATGAAATTCCAATCTGTCTGTATATCAATATCTATTTGTTAAATCTGAAGCATTTTCAAGTCAAACACCATTTTGTTCTTGCATTTTCAAGGGGTGTGCTTTATTTAATCTAATACTGGACGTGCTTATAAAGGACTTATAAAAGATTTTTAATTGCTTGGTTTTTGCAAATGGTATAATTTTGATAGAAGAATTAAGGGTTAATTTTAAACTTGAACTTTAGAGACAAACATTGGGAATAAAGCATTTTCTCTTGAGTTAGAGTAAGTTGGAATATATATATATATATATTGTAGTTAAGAGGAATATGACTTCTTGGAAGTGAAATTGGGAAAAAATGGTATACTTCTTTATTTTAAGTTAAAATATTTGGGATCAATGATACAAAATGGAGAAATTAATCAAGATGTGTCACAAAGCATACAAGTAAATGTTATATGATTTCAAAGGGACAACATGATGGAAATGAGAAGTTAATTAAGATGTGTCACAAAGGATATAAGAAAATTTTATGATTTCGAAGGAACAACATGATAGAAATACAAGAGGAGAATAAATGAGTGTTAAAAATGTTATATGATTTCTTATCTATTATATCGCATTGTATTTATTAATTATTAGTACGGAAAAGTTATATTTTATATATTTGTATTCTATTAAATTTTGAGAGAAGATAATTGTAATAAAAAAATAATTAAGATTTTAAAATAAAAATAATATTGAGTGGATTTGTGATTATTGAAATTGGATTTGTGGTTAGATTTACATAAATGGAGATTTATATATTAGAGAAAAAAGAAGAAGAAAGAGATTATACAATGACATGTCTTTATTTTTGTTAACATGACAATACCTAAATTTTATTTTAAAATGATATGTTGTTATAATACAAAATAACTTAACTTTTTATTATAAATAAAGTGGTAGGATTCAATCTTCTTGACGGATGCAGGAGAGACTAGATTTTTGAAAGTGAATTTGTAACTAAGATTTTGAAAGTAGATTTGTAGTTAAGTTTATTCAGATGGATATATATATATTAGAAAAAAAAAGAAATTATAAAATAATGTGACAATATTTTATATGACAACACTTAAAATTTATTTTAAAATGACATGTCGTTATAATATAAAATGATTCAGCTTTTATATTATAAATAAATTAGATATAAATTTGTGCAATGTACAACTAAAAAAATTATTTAAATTAAAAATATTATTTTATTAGTTATATATATAAGTTTTAAATATAATTTTTTTAATTATGTAATATAAGTTTGTTATTGATTTTTTACAACAAATAAATTTATTATTGTTTGTAAAGAAAAATATTATTACAAATATTTTTGGTATTTATATTTATATAAATAATCTATCATTAATCTCTTTAAAACTTAGTTTAAAATGAATATTCAAACATTTATACATTAATACTAAAATTACATAATATAATAACAATAATAAGATTAAATGAGATAAAAAATAAATCTATATTTACTATTCATAGTAAAAAAAATAATACTAAAGTTACTTATTTGATTTATGTGTGACAGAAATTAAATCAGCTTCATGATAGATTTTTCGATACCCACTTCTAGTAGTTTGTGGAATAATTTTAATTAGAAAAAAGTCTATTACTCTTTTTTCTTAAAGTGAATTTGTTTGTAAATATATCTATATTAATTTAATTCAGAGTAAGAAAATTTAACTCAATAAGTTATTTAAAAATAAAAAAAATTCATACTTGAATAAATGAGTTCATTTAACGCAACTTTTTTCTCTCATATTTTAAATGTGTGATTTTTTTTATTTAATCTTATATTTTACATTTATTGTTACTAAAATTATATATATATATATATATATATTAATGTCTTTATCAATTATCATTATGCATAGCAAATTTTTTTTTTATCATTTGCAAATCAAATTTAAAGATGTATTATATGTTATCGTATTTTTGCAACATATACAAAAATATTGTAATGCAATTGTATTTAAATTTTTAAAGTATTTTGTTTGACTATTTCACTGAAATAATAGATTGTCATATGTCTCATATTTTTTTAGTATTTATTAAAGAGGTAGAGTTAAATAAAAATCAAAATGAAATGGATAAAATGAGAAGAAAAATATCGTATAAATTAAATACTTAAAAAGACTGAAATACTGTATTATAATTTTAAACAAAATATTGTTTGAAATTATTTTGTAATATATTAATAATAATTGGAATGAAATCTTTTATAATTTAATTTTAAATTATTAATTTTTGTTTTCATTCTTTATTTTTGTTTATTAGATTCAAATTCAAAAATATAAGAGTTAGGTGAATAAATATTTTAAAGAAGTTATAGTTAAAGGTAATATATTCAAATAAATATTTTCTATAACTGAATTATAAAATAATTTGTTTCAATATTTTTATCAAATTAATAAGTTAATAATAAAGAATATACATATATTCATTATTTTCATATATATAATTCCTTATATATAAATCCAATTATTGAGAGGTTTGTCCAATTTTTTTTTATTGTTTAAAACTAATATTAATAAAAAATTTATTATTTTTCTTATTAATGAACATAAATGTCAATTAATAATAATTTAAAAGTATCTGACTCTATATTAATTATAAAAATATCATAGTATTTTAATTTGTAAGGATTAGGTTTCAGCAAAAGTAAATTTTTTAATGATGGTTTATAATTAACATTAATATTAATAATATTTATTATTATTTTTTGAAACGGATAATTTAATAAAATTAAATTTTTAAATACTAAGTTAATGATTGAATATTTTAATCCATAATTAATATTAATTAATATTACTCTATTATTATTTATAATTAATATTAATTAGTATTAGAATGACACGTCATTTTAAAATAAACTTTAGGTGTTATCATGTCAGTAAACATACTGATATCATTTTATAATCTTTTCCCCCTAATATATATATATATATATATATCCATCTATGTAAACTTAACCACAAATTCACTTTTGAAAATTTAGTCTCTCTTACACCCACTAAGAAGATTGACAACCTCACTATTATTGTTGAGTGTGGATCTAATATATCGATTGTGATATGTTCATCATCCTCTCCTCCACTGCCTCCTCCAAGACGTCACTGACATCAACCTCTTCTTCTCTGCCTTTGACCTTCCAATCCACACCAAGACCACGTTTACGCTTGTTTGTCCCATAATCGTCTCTTCTCTTGTGTCGACATTCTATTCCATCTTTCTTAACTAGTATGATAATGTCTCTTCCCTCACTTGTACTATCCCTTGCCACCTTCCCACCCTTTTCATGCCCATTCTCTAAATCTATTAAAATGACTAATATTGATTAGTCAGTAATGCATTCTTTGGTATTAGCTATTTTTGGGAAAATCTATATTTTTATTCCTTTTTGATTTTCTTAGTATTTATTTGGTTACAAATTAAAGCAACAATTGAATAATAATGATAATATGTAAAAACTGTATATTTGATGGTGATATACTTTATCAAAGAATTGATATATTATTGTGCATAAATAGTTAAATTATTTTTTTTGTAGTGTATTACAAATGTTGTAATTAGGGCATTTTTAAATCTTGATTATTATTGTAAATTATTATCATCTTAACAAAATATTGTGTATTGCAATGCTTGTTTTTTTGGATATGAATGCATAGATTAGTGAATTTTTGTAATTAGGACATTCCCAAATTTGTGATTATGTTTGAGAAAATATTATGTTTAATATGATGATGATTTGATATGTGTTTTAAGATATGCATGGTTTGTTGAAAATGATGTTAAAGATCATATAATGATGACATCTATTTATAAAACATGTTTATATAAATTCTAATATAATGTGTCATCCTTTATCATATTTCTCATCTCTATATAATTAGTGTATTGTACTTTTGACACAACGTGACTAAAATTAAAGGATCAAATAAAGTGTCATTATAATTATATCAAAACTTTCATAACTCTTATCTTTATAATTAGTGTTAATTATAAGCATTCACATAATGAATTAAACATTAGATGGAGAAAAATAAAAAATAAAGGTTTTTTTATTTCAATTTTTTTTGTTTCTATTTTCATTTTCAAAAAATAATTTTCATTTTCAAATTTTTAAATTTAGAAAACAGTTTAATTTCACAATATTAATTTTAGAAAATGAAAATATTCAAAAAATTATTTGGTTTAACTATTTTAAAAGAAAATTATAAAATATATTTTTAATAAAATTTACAAATTTTAAAATAAATTGTACCGGAAGGAATGAGGTGACCACATGTCATGACACATGACCTGCCACATGTCAGGTACCAACTCACCTAGTCATTCCGACGTCAACTATTCGACTACACTGTCTCAGTCATATTGGCAATCGAGATGACTGAATGAACAAATATTTCGATGTCTTCTCTAACCCCTTTAATCGTCCGATCACACTGTCTCGGCAAACGAAACATATATTGTAACGCTTCCTCGAAACGGTTAAGGCCATCTCGACCTTTTCGACAACCGAGAATCGAAAACACTGCCTCACCCGAGATACTCAAGTATACCACTAGAAACATATGGTTTTCACCAAACGGCTCAAACCTCTCGACCCGATCAAAGACCGAAAAAGCCAAGACAATGACATGATTAGTATGCGATAATCACAATTAGCAAGGGTAACACACTGTATTACCTAATTTGGTAATCATGGAACAAGGCCCACCACGCCTGGGCCCATTATGGTTAGTATAAATAGTCGTACAAAATGAGATATGATTACTATTCATTTATTAATACTATCGATATTCGTGCTTGTCCTGATTTGAGTATTAGATTGACTTTTGCAAGTACCTCCCACTTTTGTATTGCCACTTAGAGTTCTCAGTCGACATTTAGGATACAAGAAGATTACTAATGTGCCGTCAAACATGTACATAAATAATAATACGTTTTCTTAATAATTGATAGTTAGAAAAGATAATTAAAAATAATTGAAGAATAACAATATTACATTGAAAATATCACAATGAAAATAATTATAGATGATCGTATCCCATATTCTTATTATACTATTTATGATTATGCTTGTAATACACACACACACACATATATATATATATATACC